ATTAATTAATAATTGCTCATAAAATCTCGTAAACATACATTTACAAAATGTTGAAAAGCAAAAAAAAAGAGGAAAAGAAGAAAAAATATATTTGAAAATTTCAAAGTAATTTAAAATTTAGCAAAAATTTTAAAAAAAAAATATTTTTCTAATTTTTTTTGGTTTTTTTTTTTTTAAAAAAAAGTTTTATTTTTTATTATACAACTGCATGCATTTTTCCAAAAATTTCATACAAATCTTTTTTCTTTTTTATAATACTAAAAATTTTTTTCGTTTCTTCAATTTTTTAAAGAAAAAAAAAATTAAATTAAATTAAAATGTTTGCATCTGTTATCATTATTATTATTATTATTATTATTATTATTATTATTATTATTATTATTATTATTATTATTATTATTATTATTATTATTATTATTATTATTATTATTATTTGATAACTGTTATCTTTTAGGTGATTCTTTCAATGTCATTCAGAAAAATGATCTGAATGTTTCCTATTTCTCAACAATCAAAAATTTAATTAGAAATTTTCAGCAATTAATGATTAACAAATTTTAATTGTTCATTTGGATAATAGAAGTGAGAAGAAATAATTTGTATTCATGATGAATTCAAATATCTTTTCAATTAATTTAAACTAAAATTAAAATTCTTTTACATCAATTTTCTTTCCATCCACACATTATTATAAGTTTATTTTGTTCGTTACAAATTTTAGAAATTTATAATTAATTTCAGGTGGTAGCACAATTTAACATATCACTTATTTTTAATTAACAATCTAATTGTTCGAACAAGTTATTTCATATTTTTGTTAATTTCCGTGAATGAATGAATTTCATTAATGATTTTCGAATTTTCGTTGCTAAATTTAAAACTTGAAATTTTGCTTTTCATCCTGTTTTCATTTCACTTCAACTGATAATACTTTCTATCATTGTTGTTAAGAAAACTTATCACTCAAAATGGAGCATTTAAAAGTGTATTTAAGTTCAATTTAAATGTCATAGCAATGTTTATTATTATCAATCACTTTTTCTTTTTAGACTTTAATTTATCCCAAATTTTAGAATAAAAAGTTTTTCTCTTTCTTTTTCTCTCTCTCTCTCTCTCTTTCTCCCTCGTCCTTTCTCTTTATCTTATCACTTCTTACTTTAATCATTTCTTTAATGAAATGAACGTATAAAATGGAAGAAATATCAAAGAAAAAAAACTGTTGTATGATAAGTGATAATAGTATTTATATCCTCTATTATCTTATCATTTGTTATCAATTCAAATTTTATTTTTTATTTTCTTTTACAAAATAAATTTGAGATTCAAATTTTATTTTTTATTTTCTTATACAAAATAAATTTGAGATATTCCCTTAAAATATTAATTTCTTTCTTTTTTTTTTCCGAAGTAGTAAATGAGTAGTTTTAATCATCACATTAAGTAGAGAAAAAAATTTAAATAATTTCAAATTATTCAAAAAAAAAAAAAAAAGTAATAATAATAATTATTATAGTTGCCTACCAGCAATTGACGTATACTATTATCCAATTTTTTTTTTTTTTCTTTTTTCATTATTGCAACTATCACATCAAATTGTCACATTGCAACTATTCTGTCACATTTTGATAAATTATAAAAATGAAAGTGATTATATCTATGAATGAATTTTTTTTTAAGAAAAAATCTTTCATTTTAATTTTTTCTATTTTTTCTACTTTTCTATTCATCTTATTAATTTTCTATTATATTTAAAAACTATTTTCAAGTATTTATAATTTGCAATTAATCAGTATTTTCTCTTTTTATATTTATAGTCTTTAATTTCAGATTTATTTCAAATAATTAAAACTTTTCTTAACAACTAAAATTTTATGCTTGACAAAGGAATTAATTATAATTTTTTTTTTATAAATAATTTTCTTCTATACAATAAAATTTACTAATAAGTAAATTTTTTTTTTTTTGACGATTTCAACGATTGGAATGATTTATTTGATCAAGTCATACAAAAAAAAAAATTTTTTTAACTTATTAAATTAATGAGTGTCACTTATAATAACAATTTATAATGGATGATCAAATTACAAAAATAAAAAAAAAATTTTTTTTCATTGTCAACCTAAAATTAATGTAATTATTTATTCATTGTCAACCTAAAATTAATCAAATGTGTATTTTGTACTTCTAGCTGCTACTAATAGTAATAAAAATGATAATATTAAACACTGATAATATTATGTTACAAATTGATCAAAATTTAATAATTTTAAAATTTTATTTTTTTGATGATGAAAAAAAATTGGAATAGCAAAAATAATTGTTTGATATAATTTATTAAATATTAATATGAAATAGCTTTTTTTGCAAATAAAAAAAATTTTTGAAAAATAATAATAGTAATATTAATTTTAATACTATCATTACACCACTCATATAATGATGACTCATATTTAGATAATCATTTCCATAACAAAATTTCAATTCGATTCAGTCGATGAAATTTCAAACAACAAAATTAAATATACCAATTGAATACTTCACAAAATAAAATGTGGCCTAAATACATCTCTTTTCATCTTTCAACCAATACTACGATATCACACACAAAATTTAAATCTTTCTTCACTAATACTCACTAAAGCTAATTTACATTTCAATTTTTTTTTTTTTAAAAAACTTTTCTCACATTTAAAAAAAAAAATCGTTAACTTTTCTTTTATTAATTCAATTATTTAAGTTAATTCATGTTCGTTCATCCGTTCTTCTTTTCCCATAATTGTCTGTCAATTTTGCGAATTTTTTTTTTTCAATTCATTTCACATTTTACTTCATCATAAATTAAATTTATTATACCGTTTTTAATTAAATTTATTATACCGTTTCTAATTAAAATTTATATAAATTAAATTTATTATGCCGTTTTTTTTCTTCGTTTTCCTTTTTATTTTTTTAAATTTTATTTGTAAGAGTTTTTTTCACTTTTTTTTTTTTTGAATTTCAAACTATGATTGAATATAAAATTTCTCGAGTTATAAATATGTTAAGATTTAGTTTAAAATTGTTGAAAATCATAAATTCAAAAAATTATTTATTTCGACTACATTTATCATAGTGTTTTTCAAATTGAAGTTTTTTTTTTTCTTCTCTTTTCTTTAATTTATAAATTTTTTTTCGAGAAATTAAACCGAAAATTTAATTCAATTGTTTTCTTCGCAACACGAAAAACTCATTTAAAAAATGTTAAAATGCTGAAAGCATTTTTTCATAATCAGTGAAAATCAAATTTTTTTTTTGAAAATGATTGTTATATTAACTTTTGCTGATAAGTAACATCCATTATCACAGTGATAAAATTATCACAGTGAATATTGTTATGTGTTTATGTTGTTTATGACTGTGATAACAAGGTATCATTATCATTCAGAAAATGGAATTTACAATTGCATGCAGAAGAAATGCATGCATAAATTTCTGCAAGGTCATTGCATGGAGTTTTTTCATGCAAATTTAATGAAACGATAAATGTGAAAGAAAAATAACAATTAATTTTCCTTTACTATTATTTCTTGTTATTTCTTGAATATTTTTTAAACCAAAACTCTATTGTTGAAAGTTTGAAATAATATTAATTACTTATTTGTTATCGAAAGTTTCAAAATAATATTAATCACTTATTTGTTGTTGAAAATTCAAAGTAATATTAAGTACTTATTTGTTGTTGAAAATTCAAAGTAATATTAAGTACTTATTTGTTGTTGAAAATTCAAAGTAATATTAATTACTTATTTGTTATAGAAAGTTTGAAGTAATACTAATTAATTATTTGTTGTTGAAAATTCAAAGTAAAAGAAATAAATGCACATTTTCTTGCAAAAATCGTCAAAATAATCCAACGAATTGAAATTTACATACTTAAATATAAAATTCAATATAATAAAAATGAAATAATTAATTTTAAATGAAGATAATATTAATGATTCATTATATATTACTATACAATATTAATTTAAAAAAAATTCACATATTATTGATATGTTTTTATCATTGATCCATTATTTTGATATTAATGAACGATTATACTATCTTTTTTTTTCTTTTCATAAAATCCTGAAATTGAAATCTTTTTTTTACTTTTCATAAAATCCTGAAATTGAAATCTTTTTGCTACTTTCCATAAGATCCTGAAATTGAAATCCTTTTATCATTGATCCATTATTTTGATATTAATGAACAATTATACTATCTTTTTTTTTCTTTTCATAAAATCCTGAAATTGAAATCTTTTTTTTACTTTTCATAAGATCCTGAAATTGAAATCTTTTTTTTCTTTTCACAAAATCTTGAAATTAAAATTTACTTTTCATAAAACCTGAAATTGAATCCTTTTTTTTTTCTTCAAGCACTATAATATGTTTAAATAAATTTATTTTATTGAAATTTCTTAAAAAGATATAATTGAAATTAGATTTATAAGCAAAAAATAAATAAATCATCATTTATTGATCATTTTGAGAAAGCAAATTTTTCTCTTTGACCGAGCATTTATCTTTTTTGCAATAATAATAATAATAAGAATGACATTTGCGCATTTAAAATTCAAACGAAATAGACTACAGCGCTCATATGCATTTCTAATACATTACGGTTCAGCAATTAATCACTCAATTCATTCTTATTGTAATAATTTAATCAAAAATTTATTTATTTATTTTTTTAAACAAAAAACCAAAATGAATTTAAATGTTAGAATGAGAAAAATGAAAATTCTTTTGCATTTTAGTAAAATTAATTTTGAATTTAAATTAAAAAAATGAAATAGATTAAAGATTAAATGCAAATGTTGCAAATAAAATTTTAAATTTTCTTGGCAAAAATTTAAAAAAAAAAAAACATTTTGATAATTTTTAGTGATTGATGGAATAAGTTGGCAATATTTTTTTCTGATAAGAAATCTTTTATCAATAAAAAGTGAAAGTAAATTATCACAATACAACGTTGATATGATGGATGTTATGAAAAGCGCATTTGTCATTATGTCGAATGGAACACCTTCACTTATCTTTTTGATTTTACTGTTATCATTTGTTAAGCAATTTATTAATTCAGGTAAAAATTTGATAAATAGTTATTAAAATGTGTGAAAGCGCAATTTGTACATTTTCTTCTTCTCATCCATTTGCGCACACATTCATTATCTTCTTATCATCTGTTTTTAATTTTTATTTTATTTCGAAAAAGATTACAAAATAAATGTAACTTTTCCATATCCATTCAAATCAGTAAATTTTTGTATGATTTATTTCAAAATTTTGAAATTTATTAATTTAAAAAAAGTTTTGCAAAAGTTATAAAACTTTTAAAAAGATTAGCCATCATCAAAATTTTCCAAGAATTTTAAAATAATTCTTGAAAAATAATTGAAAACTTATAGAACCATTTGTACCAACACCAGCATCGATCTATTTACTCTCTGGAAGTTCTCATTTTAATTTAAGTCAACAAAATCAGTTGTCAACTCTTGCATACAATTTGGATCAAATATCAAATTTAACATCAAATAATCCTACATTTCCGTCATTACCTCAAAAACTGCCATCAATAAGGTAAGTAATACAGTTAAAATTTAAAATTTCAATAGTAATAAACAATAATTTAATTAATTCCCGAATTCCTTTTTTTTTTTTTTTTTTTTATAACATTTTTCTGCATATAATACAAAATTGAACAAATAAGATTTTTGGATATAATATTGATTGATTTATTGATTGATTGATGGTTGATTCGATTTTGTATTACAAAAATTCTTATTTGCTAATTAGATTCGATTATTATTTAATTTTTTTTTTTTTGTATTTTTTCAATTAGATAAAAATAAAATGAATTAATTTTTCTTCCTTATAACAATTTTTTCTTCAATTCTCCTACACCTTTTAATGATTCAAATTTTAAATTAGGTAATTTAATTCCTTTAATTCGTTCCGTTCTCTAAGGTAATCAACAAATAATTAGTAATTATTTACTGAAACATACTGATAAAACGATTTTAGGCATTGATAATTTTTCAATTATTGCATATGCCAACATGTCGCCAATAAATTTCTCAAAATAAAAATTATATTTTGCATTAAATGATGAATCATTTAATTTTTTTTTTTTTTTAGCAAAAAGATTGAAATTTGAAATGGTAATTTTGATAGTAATAAATTTTAAATAATTGATTAAATACTTTTGCGCCTTTTTAGCATTTTAGTAAATCAAATAAATTATTTTGCATATTTTTTTTTTCATTTTTTAAATAGTAATTTGAGAAAAGAAAAATTAATTTATTATGCATTAAACTGTTGCTAAAAATGCTTTTAAATAAGTGAAAATATTTTATTTATTCATTTTATTACAAATGAAATTATTTATTTATTTTTTTCTCAATTAAAATATATAAATATTAATTAACTAATTTATGCTATTTTGCTCAAAAAAAAAAAAAAAAAAAAAAAATATGATAACAATACGTTGCTTTTTTTATAATTTACTTAAAAATAATTTATCAAATTATTCAATTGAATACTACGGAATAATTTGAAATGAATTTTAAAAATTTAAATTATTTATTTCCATTTCTATAGTACATATTGTTTGAAAACTATCGTATTTGATTTTTAAAGTGAAATATTCTTTCTTTTAATTTCAAATTAATTTTCGAAATTTCACAAATTATATTTAAAATTATTTTAAATTTATATTTAATTTCAGTGTTTACAATGATAACAAACAATCAGCAATTTTGACATCGAAATACAGAAGACAAGAAGAAAATTTAGCAAATAATTTTTACAAAAAGTCAAAAAATGTCAACGTAAAGGATGAAGTATTTATTCATTTGTAAAAAAAAAAAATTTTTTTTATTAAAAAAAAAAAAAATTCTAAAAATTGAAATTGTCAAATATGTGAAAAGTACATTGTTTGCTTTATTTCTTTTCTTCTAATTTTTTAATCTATAATTTATAAATTTTAAACTATTTTCTGTTTTTTTTTTCATCAAATCATTAAAATGTTTAAATTTTAAACAATTATTTCACTTCTCATTTTGTTTGTTTATTTGTTTGTTTTTTTGTTGTATATATTTTCAGATAACAACAAATGAGGCAATATTTCGTTCATTTCAAGATGATAATTTTGATGAAAGCTATCAACAAATTAATAAAACTTACTTTTCGGAAGCGATTAATAGAGACGAAGAAATTCCTCAAATAACAAATATTCAGGTATATGATTTTATTAACTTTACTTACATTTATTACTTCTGTCATTTTTCATCAAAAAGATAATTTCTAGAATTTTCGATTATTTAAATCTAAAAAAAAAAAACTTCCATGCATAAATTTAATAATTTATGCAAATTAAGCAAAATTATAAAGTGCCAATAGATCTAAATTTTGAATTCTAAAAATTAATTCGCCCAGCGATTGTATCAATTATTTAGTGAATTTTACAGTAAAAAATAATATGCAAATAAATTTATCAATTTTAAAAAATAATTTACAAATTTTATTATCATTTAAAAAGTATTTACAGTGAAAGTAATTTATTATTTAAGCTATGTTCTGAAGAAAAAATATTATTCGCTTAAATTTTTAACATTTAAAAAGTTTCAATTTTATGAAGCAATTTTACATATTTTAATTAATTAACCGTATCAGTTAATCAATAAGTCAATTAACTATCAATCATTCAATTAATTAATTAATTAATCAATCAATAAATCAATCAATCAGCCAATTTAATCAATTAATCATTTGGTGAATTTTGCAGTAATAATAATATGTAAATAAATTTATCAATTTAATAAGTAATATAATAACAAAAAAAAAAAAAAAAATGAAATTTCCACTAATCAGTTTAATTAAAGAAATATTTCTTTTTTTTCTAACATATTGAAATTAATTAGAAATTAATTAGAGATAATTTATGAAATTAATAAAATGAATTTCATATTTCAATTATTTTAATTTCTTACTATGCTATCAGAAATTTGACAGTTTAAATAATTCCAAATATTATATTCTAAATTATTAACAGCATTATCAGTTATATGTATTTACTGATAAAATGAATTTTTATTACTAACATTTAACTATCAGATGCAAATTAATTATTATCTTTGTTAATCTCTTATCATTTTCATTTATTGTCGCATATAAAATCGTTTTTTAAAATTTTTATGCTAATATCATAAGATTTAATATTCAACACTTACGTTTTTCTTTTTTCTTTTACGTTCAACACTTACGCTTCTCAATGTTTACGTTTATTACTTACGTTTCTTTACGTGTCTCTCTTTTTTTTTCCTGATTTCTTTTGTGTTTATTCTTTCTTCTTCTTTTCACTTAAAAAGTAAATCAATTGCATTTATTGAAATTAAATCATCCAAAAAATATTATTCATTTCATTGTGTGAGAAAATATAATAATAATATACCATTGAATATAGATAGCTACTTCCTTTTCCAATTTTCAAATGTTATTATCATTGTCATTGACACAATTTTTACATTTTTCAAAAATTTTTTTTCCTTTTTAATCAAAATCAGATATTCCGGAAATTCCGATTTTTGCATCGTTTCTTAGTACAAAAAAAATAAAATAAATTAAATCTTTTAGATATATTTGTTCGTAAAAAAATTATATTAAAAATAAATAAGTAAATAAATAAATAAAATCTATGTTTACTTTAACATTTCAAAAATTTATACATTTACTTGTGAAAATATTTATTTGAGGATTATTTAACCACTGAACCATCTGCTACAATAATTGATGTCAACAAAATACATTTGCAATCAGTACTGTCACCTTTAGCAGTGACAACACCACAACTACTAGAATTAGTAACATCTACGGCAATTCTTTTAGATGGTATGTTTCTTGATAATTTTTTTCAGTTTAAATTTTAATAAAAATTTGTTTACTTAATTTAGAATAAAAAAAGAATGATATTATTAATAGCTGTTAATGGTTATTTATTTATTTATTTATTTATTTTTGATGAATGTTTTCTACTTTAAACAAAAATATGCAACTCATTTTATCGATGATAAAAAGTGTTAATAAATTAGAAAAGCTTTCAAAAGTTGTCGATTTTTCTGTGCTTAGCTGACACTTATCATTTTAACAACTTATCATATCATTGAAAATAATTGAAACAATTTTGCTGTTTATCATTTCACAACAAAAAATTTAATTCAAAAGTTTGCAATTTAATATTTCATTGCTTAATATAATTTCTTTGATAGCACATAAAATAAGTAAAATATTAAATTGTAAAATTCTTATTTAAAACTTAAAAATGATTGAATTAAACTTTAAAATCTTGTTTTAAGCATCAAATGAAAAAAAAAACATTAATTTTGCACAATTTTTATTAAAAAAAATCTCCTAAAATTAACTAAAAAAAAATCTCTTAAATTTAACTAAAGAAAGAAACTTATCAGTGGTAGTATGAAAAAAAAAGCGAATGAGAAACAACTATTTATTATTCATATTTATAAAAAAAAAAAAAATGTTTACAAATTTCGAATGAAATTTATTGCAGTAATAATAAAAAATTATTTACTGAAATATTTTTTAACTCATATTTGAAATTATTTACAGAATAAAAAGCTGCAAAAAATATATATGAGAATATCAAAATGAAGAAATGAAAGAAAAAATTAAAATGAAATAAAAATAAAATTTCATTTGCATATTTTAAGTTAAACAAATCATTCATCATTTTATTTTATTTTTTTTTTGATGAAATGCAACAATTTCAGTAATTATTTTCTAGCTAATATTACTATTAGCATTTTTTTTTTTTTTTAGATTTCAATAATAAAAATGAAAAAGTGAATATATCAAATAGAAATTTTCCACTTCAAAAAAATTATTCAACTATACCGTTTGCACTAAAATACTGGGAAATGCAACGAACCGATTCCGGTCAATCAATTATCCGTGTTACGACAACTTCTACAGCACTTCAAATTACTACTGGAAGAAATGAATTCAATCATTTAAATATTGCTAAAAATGATAGCACAACAAGTGTTGGTGACAATGACAATGACAACAATAAATTCAATTCTGATGACATTATTCGAAATGAATTCACTACACTCAAGTAATTTAAATTAATTAAAAAATTAATCAGTTAAGCATTTTTTTTTGTTTTTTAAAGTTTATTTTTTATCTGTCTAATTTGAGTGTTTATTTTAATGCTATATAATATAATTTATATTGGTGATATTTCAGGAAAAAATCATCACTTCCTCAAACAATTAATCAGCAATCAACAATTTCTGCCAACAATAATTTGAATATTTCAGACGATAAATTCATTGCTACAACTGCTATTAATATCAAAACTATTTCTACTAATAGTCAAAATTTACTTTCTAAAACTTTAACTATTGAAGAACAAACTGATAAATTTCATTTTACCACTGCAAAAATTAATTTGACAGAGAGTAATGTTGATTCTAACGAAATGCAAATGACATCAATTAATTCATCCAAATTTAATCAAATTATTGATGCTGATGAGTTGACATTGAATATGAGGAAAGATAATTTTTTATTCGAAAAATCACAAAAACCTCCGGAATTTTCATCATTTTCTGTATTTCACTTACAAACATCAACAATACCATCATCATCATTATCAACATTATCATCATTATCATCACCATCATTATCAGCATCATCTACAACAACAACAACAACGATAGCAGCTATCAATGATAATAGTCCAATGGAAATTTCACCAGCTGATAAATTTCTATCAAATAATGATGAAAAGATAATTAAATTAAATTCTGAGAACAATCAAAAAATCAACAAAATAGCAAATAAAAAACAATTCGATCGAAAAAAAATAAATTTAGATTCGACATTTGCCAAAAATGTTGAATTTGATAAATTAAAGAGGAAGGAAATTGAAACTAATTTAATGCAAAATTCAAATGAACAATGGCAAACAAAAAAAGCGAAAATATTGATTGATAAAATTTCAACAACTCATTTACCAAACAATAAATTAAGTTAGTTATCAAATTTTTATTTAATCAAAAAAAAAAAACGAAAAAAGTTAAGAATTGAAAAAAAATTAGAAAAAATTTTTGCTAATTGATTAAAAAAAATACTAAAATATTGATTTAGAAATTTAAATTTATTTCAACATTTATATTCCATATTTAATTAATTTGAAATAAAATTTAGTTACAAAATAAAATTTTGTTGTTTACTTAAGAACTGAACTGAACAATTTAAATTCTTTTTTTTTAAGCTATCAGTTTATTTTAATATATTTGTATTAATTATTCATTTACAATCTGCAAAAAACCAGGAAGACAATGTCTGAAATTTAAAAGTATGATAAAAATTGATAGCTTAAAAGTTTATTAAGGTGGGAATGTTTATTTACTAAAAAGAAATTTTTTCAATAGTTCAATTATTTTCTAATGAATTTCATTTATTTAAATTCGAAAAACTTATTTCAAACATATCATTTTTATCATTATCATATCATTTTTCCTCTTTTTATTATTATTGTCATCATTATGATAGGTTCAAATTCCGCCGAGTTATCATCCATTTTGGGTAATCAAATTGATAACGCATTCAGTAATTTGATTCATCTCGAAAAGCAACAAATGGGTATATCAATACCAAAATATGAAAATTCGATAAGAGGGCTAATCTTTGCACAATTACCAAAACAAAATGGTATCAACACTGTCATGGTACTTAAAATATTTTTATTAATTTTAACAAATTCGTTTTTTTTTTTTTTCCAGAAAAAAAAAGAAAAATACTTCAGGAATTTTTAAAACAAATTAAAAAAAAATTTTTCCTATTTAATAATTTATTTATTTCAACTTTGAAATTATTTATATGAAGTAAAATTTTTTTTTTAAAAAAAAAATTAAATTACAAATTAAAATTTAGATTGATACAGCTGATGATGACACAGGCCTGTCAATCAAACGTGGAATAACAAAAGGAAAAATATTAGAAAAACAAGAATCATTTATTTCTGGTAAACCTGTCACTTTGGAATTATGGAATCCAATAATATACGGTAAAAAAATTTATTTTATATATAAATTTTAAAATGATTAAAAATTATTAAAATTGTATTATTACTTTATATATTACATATCAAAAATATAAATCATTTAGTCATTTATTTATTTATTTATTTATTTATTTTTTAACATTTAAAAATAAATTTGAAAATATTAATTTTTGTCAAATTTGTCAAGTAGTGAAATTCTTTTTATTCACTGAATAAACTTTTCATTTTTTTTTTTTTTTGCATCAATTTAAAACTTTTTCAAATTAATTTCCATCACTATTATAACTTTATATGTCTTCTAAATTGCATCATGAATTTTCATCCAAAAGTAATAAAAACATTAATGAATGATGCTGATAAGAATAGTGATATAGTGATAAGAATAATAAATTAATCATGAAATCTTAATTACAATATCAAATTCCTATCATTGCATATTAGCTAATTTCAATAAGCTAATTAACATTTTCTTGAAAGTTGCATTTGAGCAGTTTGCAAAATTAATTTGTAGCATTTTTCATAACAAAAGTTGAAATTACTCTTTTAAATATTTGAAATTGTTTTCAAAAAATAAAATCGAAATTCTTTTTCGTTACAATTCAAAATATCATCATTTCACTGTATTTATGCAAATGATCAAAGGTAATTCATATACAATTTGTGCATTCATATTTCATTTTGAACTTGAAAAAAAAAAAGAGCGAAATGGAAATTAATTATTAAAGAATAAATAACTTTATAATAAATGAAATAAATAAATAAAATGATATTAGAAAAAAAGTGAGACTGTTTAATTTGTACTTAATTAAAAGATAAAAAGTGATTGTATGTTAAATGAAATTTATTTCTTTTTTTGAAATATGAAAATGTTAAAGAAATTTGTGTAATGATAGATTAAAAGTAATTAGTATCTCATTAAATATAATTAACATTTCATTATACGTAATTATCAAATTATCAATTAAGTAATTAATTAGTAATTATCAATTCATTAAGCTTAATTAATACTTCATTAAGTATTCTTTAACATAAATACAGAAATTATTGTTCATTAATTTTTTTCTAACATTTCTTCCTAACATTGATTTCACTGTTTATATCGTTATATTCTTATCACAAAACTGATCTATCACTATTGATAATGATATTTTGATCACTTTAATATTATATACTAATTTCTATTGATATAACATTTCTATAAGTTTTATTATTCTAAATGAGTTTTTTTAAGTTTGATTTTGTAGCAAAACATTTGATTGTATTATTAACCATAAAAAAATGAATTCGATTGAGTTCTAACAAAATTTTCATATTATTAAGATTCGCTTAATTTCAGATTTAATCCAAATTATCAATTTTTTTAACCATTTTTTATCTAATATTATATGCTAACTTCTGTTGATATAAACAATATAAATTAAACAAATTTTGCTGTTTTTTTTTTTTTTTTATCACTTATCATTTAAGCTTCTGATTTTTTGACTTTTTAAATTTTTTTTTTGTTTAAATATTTCTATTGTTTTTTTTTTCAGTTAGGCATCCCGAAATACTTTTTCATTTAAATTTAAAATATCTTTTTTTATTAACAATGAATATAAATAAGTATCATTTATTTCTACCTAGCCTATCTATTTGTATGAAATTGAAGTAATACGTAATATTTACTATTGATCAGAGTAATATGTGATATTCATGACTGATTAAAGTAATTCGTAATATTCACGACTGATTAGAGTAATGCGTGATATTCATGACTGACTAAAGTAATACGTAATATTCATGACTGATTAAGGTAATACGTGATATTCATGACTGACTAAAGTAATATGTAATATTCACGACTGATTAGAGTAATACGTGATATTCATGACTGACTAAAGTAATATGTAATATTCACGACTGATTAGAGTAATACGTGATATTCATGACTGATTAAAGTAATTCGTAATATTCACGACTGACTGACTAAAGTAATATGTAATATTCACGACTGATTAGAGTAATACGTGATATTCATGACTGATTAAAGTAAAGTAATACGTAATATTGATAACTGATTAGATAATACGTAATGTTCACAACTGATTAAAGTAATACGTAATATTCATGATTGATCAAAGTAATACGTAATTCACGACTGATTAAAGTAAAGTAATACGTAATATTGATAACTGATTAGAGTAATACGTAATGTTCACAACTGATTAAAGTAACACGTAATATTCATGACTGATTAAACTAATACGTAATGTTCACGTAGGTCACGACTGGTTAGCAAATCCCGGTGCCATAATAAATGGCTTTGTACAGCCATTACAAGCTCAAATACATAACGTTGAAAGAACGCAAATAGATGGACAAAATAATCGTTATCATCAACAACGTCAAATATTTGACGTAAAATCAATTTCAAATGATAAACGATTAAATGAAATGAGCAAAGAGAGAAAGAAGGAAAGAAAAAATGAAAATTTAATTATGGATCAAACGAATCGAAAAGAAGAATTAGCTAAAGCTTGTTTAAATGATGAAAAAGGTTAGCTTACATTTTATAACAGGTAAGTGAAAATGAATAATTAAACAACAAAAAAAAAAAAATAAAGTTAATTTTTTAAAATTTGATAAATATAATAATTATTTGCAAAAATATCACATTTTTTTCTCCTTTACTAATTAAAAATTCACACAAATTATTTCAATATATTAATAAGAAATAATTTCAAATTCTTTTTTTTTTTCAAAAGTTAAATTTAGGTAGCAAATTTCAGGTTTTAATAATAGTGATGAACAGGAAAGCACTGTTTTGATAATTTATACTGAAATGGATAATAATTCAGTTAGAAATAAATTACAAGTATGAAACATTTTTTTTTTTTCATTTTCATTTTTGTTTTTGTTTTTGTTTTTTTTTTTTGTTTTTTTTTCAGATAATTCTCGAAAATTTCGCATTTTACTGAGTTTTTGTTTTTTTCTTTCTAAATGACAGAATTTCAGTGCAAATTGCCTACAAATCGATTCAATTAGTTGGCTATTAAAAATAAATGCCTGGTAAATAAGAGAAATAAATAAGGAATGGATTGAAGGGTATAGGAAAATATCAAAATGCGCAGCAGTGCTTTTATGTGATGAACAATTGCGCTCTTTCCGCAACGGCACCATTCGAACGACGGATCGGAATTAGCTTAATGGAATGCGCACAATTCTGTTCAAGGTTTGACGAAGATTTTATAAAATTTCATTTTTCTTTTCTTTTTAGTTTCAAGATTTTATAAAATTTCAAAAAATATAAAATATTTCAAATAATTTATGCTTTAGTGATAAATTGTAATGTAAACTTATTTGAGACGATAAATATGTAATAATAAAATTGAATATTATCAAATATTGAATATTATTTATTCTTTTTTTAAATATAAAATTGAATATTATTTATTCCTTTTCATAAAAAAAAATTGAATATTATTTATTCCTAGAAAATTGAATATTATTTTTATATAAAATTGAATATTATTTATTCTTTTTTTTTCACCCAAATAATTCTATAATTTAAATTAGACTTTATAAAACTTTTTGATTTCTCTTTTTTTTTTTAAATATTTTTGCAATTAATATTGGAATTTTTTGTAATACTAGATCATTTTTTCTTGCAATTAATATTAGATTTTTAGATGTGTTGTTGAAAAAATTTTTAATATTAAATTTTTATTATTTATTGCTGTAAAAAAAAAATTTTTTTTACTCCAAATTTTAAATTAGTTTCAAATTTTAAGCTTACTTGGCTGTCTTTCGGCTTCGTATTCAACACGCTTTTCAATTTGTGATACATTTCATTTCAAATTTGGCTCACGAGGAAAAAAAATGATGAAACTGGCATGGAATTATTATTTGGAACCACAAGCAAATAATAATGCACCTGAATGTTTTATAGGTTTGTTATTATTTATTTTATATTTTAAATTTAATATTTATACTGTCCATTTAAAACTTAATTTTTATTTTTTTAATAAAATTCTTATGTTAATGTTATAACAAATAAGCAATCATAATATGCTTTATAATTGTTGAAATTTGCAAAATTAATTTAAAGTTTAATATACATTTCCTATTTTTCAGAGAGTTCATTAAAGCAACTAAAAGTGAACAAAGCAATTCGTAAGAGAAAGCAACCAATAGCAGCGCAAAGATTTTTGTATTGAAATTATATTTGAAAAATAAATTATTTTCAATTTGTTTATTTTAAACTTTCATTTTTATTATTTTTTAATTTAATGACAATGAATTTAAAAGTTTTTTTTTGTTTTTTATTTGTTTCAGTAAGCAAAAAACGAATGCAAATGGAATGAATTTGAAGATATCCTCCATTCGTCATGATAATTTATTAAATTATAGCAAAATGAAAAAACAGTACGGTAAATTTCCTAAATTCTTTTATCATTTAATCATTTAATGATTAGATGCAAAAATAAAATTAGAGATTAGAAATGCATTGAGTGATTTTTGCATGACAAATTAAAATATTGAAAATTTTTAGATTGCTTAAATGGTGAAAATGTAGTGGTGACAAAAGCGCCAGGATGGAGAATAGCAAAATTTAATGGTCGTATACGAAAATATTTGACAACTGAAATAGATTGCTTAGAATCTTGCTATAATAATCGAGTAAAATTGTTTAACTTTTCCATATTACTTTACAAATATTATTCATTCATTTAATTTGAAGAATACAATCACATTCCTATAGAAAAAGTTAACTTTATTTAAATCTTAAAAAAAAAAAAAAAAAAAAGTACCCCATATTGTAAATATATTACCAAATTAATAGTATGAAATTATTTCAATTTATTTTTTTCTAATCATACAATAAAATTAAATTTAAAAAAAAATTTTTTTTTTTTTTTAAATTATAAAATTCAAACTTTTAGTATAAAAAGAATATAGCTTATCATTGTTCTTCGGCAGTATTTGACGAAGATTCAAGTCGATGTAGTTTATATTCAACAATTCAACCCACAAATAATACTTTGATTCGTGACACATCCACTATTTACTATGAAAAACATTGCTTTTCAGGTAAATTAATCATTCTTTTCAAATTTAAAACATTTCAAATCATTTTTTTTTTCTATAAAATTTTATCCTTTTTTCATCTTTTTCAACTACATTTTAAAGGTGTTTTTTTTTTTTTTTAAAAAAATCAATTCTTTTTTTTTCTTTTAGAGCAATTAGCTAAATTATGTGATGGAGCGCTAATTGAGCGTCAACCACAGCAAATACTTGTCACATTTCCCGATGCAATTTTAACTACGTCAACATTAGTGAAATGTTTATTGAAATGTTTTTGGTCACTTCAAGATGGTCAAACATTTCAATGCCATTCACTAATGTACTTTTATGAGGTTTTTTTTCCAACTTTCTTTTGACTATTCTATTGATGTGAAATATTTAATAAACAATTTCATTTAGTTTATTAATTAAAATGTTTCTGCAAAAAGTATAAAATAAAATTTTCAGCAAAAAGTAGATAATTGTGTATTGAATAGCCGATCAAAACAAAACCAACCAAATAGTTTAAGGAAAGAAACACTTACAGTTGTTGATTATTTTGGCTTGGATGATTGTTTAAAGATTTCATTAGTGGTGAGTCATCTAAAAATATTATTTCATTAGTGATGAGTAATCTAAAAATATTATTCCATTAGTGATGAGTAATCTAAAACATTATTTCATTAGTGATGAGTCATCTAAAATATTATTTCATTAGTGATGAGTCATTTATGAATACTATTTCACTTAGATATTTCATTAATGCTGAGTAGTCATCTAAGAATATTACTTCATTATTGATGAGTCATCTTATCAAGAAGATTATTTTAAAGCCTTTGTAAAGAACATATTACTACTACTTTCAGGCAAATTAACATCTAATGTTTGAGTATAAGAATTTTTGAAATAGCTTTTTCAAAACAGTTATTAATTTTCAACAAATTTCCAGGATCAAGTGTCCAAAACAAATCCGATTCGAACATATGCATACAAAAAGCATCAGAATATTCTAATATCGCGAAAAATGCATATTTAATATATCAAATTAAGTTTTAAAATAATAATAAATTCAGTTGTTAAAGTTTTAAGATTTTGTTTTCTTTTTTTTTTTTTTTTTGAAGAACTTTAAAACCTTTAATTTAGAGAATTTGGACTAAGTAATAAGCATCATATATCTGAAGTTGTGATTCCACATAAATAATGTAGGAAATTAAATAAAATAAATATCTAAAAATTTACGATTCATCTTCTATTCCCTTATCTTTTTCTCAATATTATCTTCACATTTAAGTTTAAATGAAGATTAATTGAAAGAAAAAGTAACCAAAAAAATAATTTAAAAATTTTTTTTCCATATTATTATAATCATCCAGCTACGCTACAATCTTTGATCGTATCCTTTTGCCATACTTCGACATCACAATTAATCTATAAATTACGAGAAAATTTTAATTCAGGGAAGATGATCATCACTCATAACTCATAATTTGCTCTTGTTAGTTCTTGCATTTGTAAATTCTTTCAAACATTAATCAAATTGTAGCGCACTTCTATGACATATTACATTTTCAAATAAATTCACAAAATTTTAGCTAATCTATTCGAACGATGACTCATGATCACATATCTCAAAGACTTATCTTTTTAACACTCAAAATTATTTGAATTCAAACATACTGAAAGTCAACACTTAACGCAATGAAGTGATTCATATTTGTTTTAGTAAAATGAAAAATAAAAGATTTAATAAATTCATTACTTTATTTCATTTGCACTTCTGCATCAATGCATTTTGCAACGATTTGTCAACGCCTTTTTGCTTTCCTGGTTAAACTTCTCAATTTTATAATAAAACTAATGAAGGAATAATATGTGTTTGTGCAACAATAAATTGAATCCGAATATTTTAAGTAATAAAATATTTTCCGGATCCAATTCATGTCACATGATATTCCTTATATATATAACTGCTGTTTTAGTATATTGAGCCATTAAAAAGGTTTTTTTTTTTTTTTTTGGAAAAATCGGAAAAGTATAGAGCATCTGAAGTTAAACTTCTTAATTGATCTTTGTGTTTTTCCTTTCTAGAAAATTTTCTATTCTACTTTTACACTTGCGATATCAAGAAAATCACTGAAACAGAACTTTTTAATTTATTTGCTTAGTGAAATGCCAGAATAATTATAGTGAAAACAAAGAACCATTTGTTCAAAAACGAAACAAAAAAAAAAAAAAACTGAAGCCAAAATTTTGATCAAATCAACAATTCGCTGAAAATTATTTTAAAAAAAAGAAATGATTTTCATTCCAGAATATCAAGAATGAATTGTTTCAATAAATCGAAAAAAAAGAAAATGACACCAAAGCATAAAAACAACGAGTGTCAAAAAATTAAACAATTGATGGTAGAAATTAAAGAAATAAATGAAAATTATTTTACTTCTTAAAAATCATTTAATTCAAAAATATAAGAAAGCAAAATATCTTATTAGCAGAATAATGGCTAAGGAATACTTGTTTCTTTCTTTTCAACTTGATCATTATTTGCAATTTTAGAATGATTTAGACAAATATTTAAATAAAAATTCCTTTAAAAAAAAACTCAGCAAAGAAAAACAAAAAGACAAAAAAAAAAACTTCTAAAAATGATAAATGGAAGAAACTACAGGAAGTTTTAAACAACGATCTGCTGGGAGGTAAGATTTTCTTGGAAGTTTCGTCCAACTACTGCATGTTAAACATTTGAATTTTTCAACAGCAAACTAAAAACAATCCATAAGGAATAGAGGAACATGATCGAAATACTAATTCAAGAACAAATACAAAAACCATATTTGCAAGTGGACAAAAAAAGAAACAGAAAAAAAAAAATCACTAACCAAACTAATAACAAAATATTTGTCATCAAAACACATATACATGTTCACGATGATCACTTAAATAATGATAATGGATAAGGCCAAAAATGAAGCTGGAATGCAAAACCATGACATCTCCTCTTAAATATTAAAGGGCGAACCTTACAATCTGATAGTTAATAATGCTTTAAGGTGAATTTAAAAAATTGGAAAATGAAATCAAAATAAATTAATACAAATATTTGAAGATGTGATTTCGTTCCATGAAAATGCAATAGCTGCATGTTTTTTGTCTTTTTCTTTTTTTGTAATTAATATAGCAGAAATTTGTAAAACTTGCCCAGACCAGTATTAAAGATCTCCCAACATTTCCATACAAAATAAAATTATATCACTAATATTTTGTCAATCAGAAATAGCCAGTTTACAGTCTTCAACAAGCACAAAAAACTGACCACAAACTCTAGCATTTTTGGATCATTTTCTAGAATTGTCCATACAACGCAACCATGGAACATTTGTCTCTTGAATTAGTTCTTTTAATAATTCACTGACACCAAAATCCTTAATCACAAAAGGAAAAGCTTCGTTTTGAAAGCAATTACGAGATTCCCAATTTCAAGCGCCTCTTATTTCCAAAAATTCCTCATTGGAACAAATACTATGTTTTCCGAATTTCTTAGTAAAAAAATAAGAATGGTAATTAAAAAACTGGTCCACCATGATTTATTCGAGATTCTGAAACCTCCTTAACTTGAACAGAAAAAGAAAAAAAGAACAATAACATTTCTAGATAATTTAAAGCAAAAAGAATTATGAAGAGGAGGACTAAGTTGGTGTTACAATGAATCACCGAAATCAAGTAACTTCCAATAAAATAAGTACATAGACCTGTGACAAGTGAATAAAGACGTATTTTTCAAGCAAAGTCAGCTAATAAGGTGCATTAAAGAAAAGTGAAGAACCATCTAAATATTTGCTTACAACTAAATTGAAATCAAAAGTGACAGGACCCGATTTATTAACACAAGTAGACGTTTTACAAAACTGCATTATTTCTAAGCAATTATCTCCTGGCTTATCTTACCCATTATTATGAGTAATCTTAAACGTGTGCAGATAGATAAGCCACAGCATAATGAAAGAGAGAAGAAAAGTGAGGAACTGCATAAACTGGTAATTGCTGACATCTGGTTTTAACTGCAATCAAAAAATGATCAGATTTTAAGCTAGATTAGAAATTATACTCAAAATTTAAATCTGAATGTTAGCTGAACGTATTTCTAATTTTAATTTTAGAATAGTATTAACTATTAAAATCAGAAGTGATAAGTAGTCATTACCCAAACATTATATCTATTTCTGTCGAAACAACAGAGGTTACAAAGACACATATGTAATGAAGAATCTATGATGACAAAATGGAGTAATGAAATAGTGTTCCACATTTCTGCAAAAATGAGGATGTAAAAGAATGAGAAAAAGAATGAAAATATTGAATGGCAGCAGGAAATTGTAGCGGAATGGTACTAGATGCAGAAAAACGGAAAACCTCAATAAGTAGTGCTAACTCCTGCATTAAAAAAAGGACAAAGTTTGAAAGCACTTAAACATGAATAAATATTTGCCATAAAATATTAACAGTATTCGATGAGTAGCAAAAAGTTGAAGAAAAAGCGCAGTCATACTCATTTTAAACTAAAGTAATAAGTCAAAAAAGATGATTCCACCTATAAAGATTATATTTGCATCCTTTTTAAACCATTCCAGAAACATTGAATAGTTATCATTTTGCACACATCACATTGACGTTTTAATACTCGAAAGTTCAATGAAACAAACTTTTAAAGCACAGCATAATTCCTTTTCTGTGATAAGCTCCATCCGATTTCTTCTAAAAACATGCCAATAAATAACGGACTGCTCTAAATACTATGATAATACAAAGCTTTGAAAAAATTGAAAATTTTTTCAGAAATCTTTTTAGGTGCATGAAACAATAACTCATATTCAAACAACAATTTCTAATGAATATCTTTTTATGCTAAAGAAAATTTCAAAAGCGTACTCTTATAGTTAACTCGGAAATATCAAACAAAAGTGGAATGTCCCATAAAACATAACTTATCGTAATTTAAAATCTGACTCAATTCATCAAATATTTAGTTGGTTTTATAAAGTTACCCATCATCTTCTAGTTTTAAAAATCTTAAGGATTTTAAAGTGACTATGAAAAAGTCAGCAGATATTACCAATCTAATCATGAAGTAGCCCGAGATACAGCTGAAGTTACTGTTGTAGTAGTACTGGTCTCTTTCCCTCTACAAGCTTCATTTTCAATGAATGCTCTGAGGCGATCGAGATAAGCTGCATGCAGTTCAACATCGTTATGTCCTGCACCAGGTACCCAAAGTGGTTCAACTGATGAAGGACAATGTTCGTAAATGGACACACCATGTGAAAAATCGATCACCTAAGTAATTTCAGCTATAATCATCTAACCAGATAAATTAATCAAAAATACAATGTAATCATAAATCACGGTGAACAGAAAATGGAAACCATAAACACAAATTCGAGTTTATAATCGACAAAAAGTAAACTGCAATAACAACTAACTTCATCGTCAGTTCCATGGATAACCAGCGTTGGACAACGTACACGTGCTACTTTGTCGATAGATGGAAATGCATCACAACACCACGTTCGTTGTGTTCCAGGAAATGCCACACGCATTCCGGACATTAGTGGAGAATGCAAAATAAGTGCTGCTACAGAGCTTTCGATACTCGCCAAATCTACACTTGGGACAGTCCCTGAAATGAATAAAGTAGAGTAAAGTTTTTAGAAATTGCATCTCCATTTAATTTATGTTAATAAAAAGTGAACATGCTCAACTATTTTTGGTTAATGGTTTACAGAAAGGTTTAGTTTTTCCTTTTTTTATAAAGCTTAAAAACTATACATTTCATTATTAGATGTTTTAAAATAAACGAAATAAAGAAATAAAATAACAAATCAAACATCAAACAAAACCACATCTACCTATTGACTGGCCATAAAGAATGATTTGATTTAAAGGCATTTGATATCTTGAACGTAATGCTGATAATGCTGCTGCAATGTCAGCGTAAAGATTCTTCTCTGATGGTTTACCACTAGAACAGCCATATCCTGGAAATACACTACATAATAGTAGAATTTTTTGACAAAGTCATGAAGAACATGCAAGTCGGAAATGATATAAACATCTAAAGGTTACGATGAAATTACTTAACATTAACTTTAGAAGAATTCGCTTAGCTAAATAAGTTCGCAGAACATTTATATGCGCTACAACCTTCAAAATTATAGCCCTCAAAAATAATTTTAAAAACGAAAAAGATATCACCGCAGAACAAAATCTACCAAGCATTTTTCGTAACTTCTGACGCTTCAGTTGACCAATTTTATATTGATTAGTGCTCGATAAAATTTTGAGGTATAAGGATTTCAAAATATTTCATTTCCGGCATTTTTTCTATTCTACCACAATTTTTTTCGGACTTAAAGTTTTGATTTTCTTAATAAAGCATTTACAAAGCAGCACGTACCCGAATAATCATAGCTAAAAACATTGCATCCGAGACGAAAACCAAGTCCATAATAAAAGCTACACATCTGTCCGAGGTCAACTGCATTGCCATGTGAGAATAATAAGGTGAAACGAGCATCGCCACATGGCTTGACATACATACAAACAATATCATTTCTGAAATTTACTTCATTAAACCTTTAAAACTTATTGAAATGATATGTTACACAATTCATTTACTACTTTGAAGACATTGATGAAAATTAACGTTCTAACTATACCTTTCAGCCACATATTTCTTTACTTCATTTTCTGCAACAAAACAAAAGTAAGGACCAAAAATTTTCAGCAAAAGTATGTTTAAGCTCACCTTCTTCGTGTACGAGTGTGGAAGACATCGATGTTACGGAGTTCATCGTAGCCATGCGGCCAATCTGCCCGTCCATCCATTAACTCTAGTGAAGTGCTGAAGTAACATTATTATAGAGAAAATCTTATCAATAAGCTTTTAAAAGTAAAGCTGTTATTAAAAGAAAGTACATAGCTTGCGCAGCTAAGAAACTTTAATAACATGTCCAGCCGAATCTCGTCAAATTGAGTTTACTTGTCGCACACAATTATCAACTGAAAAATCACTTTACCAACGACACATGTTTTAAATCAGACAATTTCAAAGCAAATAATACTCACAGCTGAGAATCGTGCTTTACAATGCGATAGCTTGGTTCGGGCGGCATAAAGGCTAATTTGGAGACAATTGAAGAAGGCAATGGAGGACAACAAAAAAGGCAGCATAAATCTTTCATGGATACTCGGCCACCAGCACCATTCTGAGAAGCTAACTGTGTCGTCATCGTGGTGACCTCAACAGCTGATTGCAGTGACACAATAGTAAACCATCGTCATTCGAAATGAGAGATCCAGAAAAAAAAGATAAAGTCCTAAAAATATAGATCACTACTTTTAGCACTGAAATCAATTTTCTTCATGTTAAGAGATTTATCGATAATAAAATTCATTTAATCTATCATGGCAATATCTAACATCACCTACTTAAAGAAGAAACTGAAAAAGTTCAAAACTGTAAACATTTAGAAAATTTTTCGTAGAGCTGAATTGAACCTTTACCATTAAAAAGCAAAACAAAGATGTAAAGTTTTCCTCTAAGTCAATCTCTCTATCTAATCATTGTTACAAATAATCTTAAAAAAGGGGAAAATTCCAATCATAGAGTAAATTTCTTAAGTATAGAAATAAAATTACAAACCACTGTTCATAAAATGATTATAATCTGGCAAAATTTTATGAATTATAGAAAAATAATGTATATAGTATTGCAGCAATGATACTTACAACTAAAAATGGTTGACACATAATTACGTAAAGAATTCCATTGCTTCTTCAAATATTTGAAAAATTTGAAAAAAAAAAAAAAAAAAAGAGAAACCACCAACAAACGGAACTAAACCCCCGCGCGTCACACACAAACACATCAATTTGTAAAGTTCGTCCCATCAACAATGATAGTAATATTCGTCATAGTAAAATTCAGCACAGAGTAACTTCTTATTGACGTGAATTGTAAGAGTTAAGTGATACGTTTGCGTCTTTCAACGTGGTAGTTTGGTAGTCTGTTAGGCGTACGTTATATTACGTCAGTTATTTTACAATTTGTTTGATTTATATAACTTGCAAGTTTTTTTTTTTTATATGTTTCAAACAATCACTTAAACAGTTGCTCGCTCATTTTGACAATAATTAATTATCTTGAAAGTTAGTTTGAAAAATCTATCACATGAATTAAACGATTGTTAAATTGTATGAAATAACACTATTAGTTATTTAAAGTCATTAATATCCTTTTTTTTTCTGTGGTGAAGAACGTTGAAAATAAAAATATATGTAAAATAGTTAATTCTTAATATGAAGAAATGACATTTTTTTAAATAATATTTTTTTTTTTTTTTAATGAAACTTTTTAATGTATATTGAAAAAAAGTTTTTAATTAAATAACAAATGTTTATTTTATTCAATGAAGAAATGAATGTTAAATAAAAAGATAGAAAAGGATAAAAATTAATAATTCATTAAGCAAGAAAAAAACAATTAGATGTACCGTAGGATAAGAAACATATTTTTAATTGTTGCAGGTGACACTTATTATGGACTGAAAATATTTTCTACTCTTTTTATGACGTCATGAAAATAAGGAGAGAGAGAGAGAGGGAGAGAGAAAAGAAAGAAATGTACACATTCAATGCTTTGTTATAAAACGATGAAAGAGATAATGATATGTCAAACGTTTTTTTTTAAATATCATTAAATTTTGTTATCTGATTTCTCTACTCTTTCTATTATCATTTCTTTCAATATGTGATAAATGAAACTTTAATCCTCCTTCTTTTTTGAATATTTTGATTGTAATAAGATAGATTATAAATGATTTGAATAGAATAATGCAATTGGAAAAAAAAAGGATTAAAGCTTTAATCAAATGACGCAAATGACGCAAATTAATGATGTTCATCAATCTTTTTCCAAGCATTTAAGCATCATATTCTATTGAAATTTCTAATAACTTTGACATTTTGCAATAAATAACTGACAGTGAATAGAGCTGCTGTAAATGACGACAAAAGTATTATTTACATCGTTGATTTAAAATAATACAAACCACTGAATTCTCAAAACATCAAAATATTAAAGTAATAAGTGTTGTGCGTATAAAAAAGGATTAATTCTTTTCTCTTTTTTTTTTTTTTTTGTTTTTGCAGGGTTGAATGAAGAATGATTAGTTAAAAGTTGAAAAACAAAGCTACAAAGGTTAGTGTCAATAAGCTTAATTAAAGTGTGTAACGACTAGTAACTTGATAGTATGATAGATGAAGTAATCTTTAGCTGCATTATTTTTTCTTTTTTTCATTTTTGTTTACTAATTGTTAGAGAGTAATCAATTCGAAAAGACGAAAAGAATACAGCTTGCTTGATAAATCACAAAGTAGTGAATTTAATAATTATTGCAATTAATAAAATGTCAACTAAAGGCGACAAATGCATTATTTCATTTATTTATAAACTAAAAATGTAACAATAGTTGCGTTAGCAATACTTGAATTATGAATAATAAAATCATTGTGATTTTGGATGACAATTGTTTGTCAATGTTTAAATGCAAGTGACAATACGATATCTAAACGTTTCATAGTTTCATCATTTAAATTTCAACCAAATAAATTTTTCCGCAATTCATATGGTAGCAAAGAGAGGAGAGAATTCAACTGACCATTGTGAGGGAGAAATTGTGTACCCTGAAATAATAGTTAAAATTATTATTAGTGGTAATGAAAGTGATATTTGTTTCAATTTAAGTAGATCTATATGACTTGGAAAGCTTTAATTCATGATAATTAGATTATTATAAATTTTGTATAATTTTACATAATGGAAATTTTTACTGATATAAAATGAGGTGGTGCATTAATAGGCCTTATTGGTTCAAGTTTTTTATTTTGTTCTTGATCATCACCATCTGCTATTTTAGACTGTAATCCTTTTAAGTTCATAAAATTCTTCACCAATTCCAAACTCTGAAAAAAAAAAAAGATTGGGAGTGAAATTTTTGTGTAAAAAAGTTTAACAAATGATAATGAAACACACTTAATCGACGAAAAAGAAATCATTTTAGAGTTTATAAGAATTCTTCAGAAATCATGTATACATCTATTTCCGGTATGGTAATCTGCTATCATCTGGTAAATCTTGTATTGAAGACACTAATATTAACGATAATTAAACCTGTTCAGCATTCATTCCAGTAAGTCCGAAACGTTGTGCAAGTTGCCGGAGTTGCGTTCCCGGAACGGATTGTCCATCAGTTTTTGATAGCAATGTATTTAATTCTTTCATAATGCTATGTTTTGCCGAAGCATTAGTTCTCCTATATTGATTTATAATTGGTCCTAAATTGTATATTTCATTTTTAGGAAACATAGTATTAGTTCCGTAATTTTCTTTTCAGCAATAAATAATTGTATGCTTATTCAGGTTTGATTTCGAACTTATACATATCAAAGAGTCTTATTTAGGATGAAAATTTCGAGCTAACTTTTTTTTCTTGAAATGATGCAAAAATTAACCTAGTGAGAAATCACTTTCTGCATAAAACTTTTCTGGTAATGGTTGAGTAATGGTAGCAAATTCCGGAGCAAGACCATCATGCTCTCGAAATGGTAATAGTGGAGAGGTAAGGTTCAACTTATGTTGTTGTTGTTGTTGTTGTTGACCTTGTTGCTTGATAGGATCATTTATGATTTTAGTTGAAAGCTCTAATTGATCGTTTAAAAATTCTCCATTTTTATTGTTTGTCAATTGTAATTTCCGGATTTCTTTGAATTTCGAATTAGATGCTAAAGTATAATTTGAATTTATCATTGGTGCGGTAAAAGATGTTCTGCGAATGAAATTCTGTGCCGGAATGATGTTATTGATGAGTGAACGAATGGATTCATTTTCTCTATCTTTCCGAATTATTGTTGTAGGTTTTATCTGTAAATAATTTTTTTTTTTTTATAGTGCCTGAATTAGCTCTTATTTTATTTGCTCTATGTATTTTAAATTCATGTGTCATTCGTTAGCTTTTTAAGAAAAAAGAAAAATCGAATTTAAACTTAAAATTTAAATTTCCTGTCACACATCATAAATAATGCTTTATAACAAATAACCTGATTTGTGTGCAGTTGTTGAAATGCAGTTAGCCTTTCTGTATTATTAAATTGTGATTTGATGAAGTTTAAAGCGCTTACATCTGCAAAAAGTTTTACTATCAATAATAGCAAATGAAAAGATATTAAAAATTTTATTTTTATTTTAAAAAAAAAAAAAAGATTAAAATCAGTAACTTACCACAACTAATTTCATTCCCATCATTGTTTACAAGTTTAATATTAGAAATAGTTATGAAATTATTAGTTGGTACTGTTCCTTTTATTAACAATTGAACTGGTTGTTTGCTTGTTTTCATTGGAATTCGTAAACGATACCATCCATCATCATTGTACAATCCTTTTCGATTCCAAATCATCAAATTATTTTCCATATTTTCCAAAATAGTCAATAAAGCATTTTCACTGAAATAAAATTATTGGTTCTTGTTAAAAACAAAAAAGCTATCTATCTTTTATCAGTAATCAGTAACATTATCAACGATTATCAGCTAGTTAAACACTTTACTATCACTGATAATCAGTAATTTCACCTCATCCAAACATCCATTTCGACGAATGCTTCAGGAGGAACCATGAAGAAATCACTTTTTGCTAGGCCTTCACCTTCACCATCTATGGCTATATTACCTGTTAATCGATGCCATGGATATCCCAATGTCCTGATATGATATAAAAACTTTTTGGATATTTACTAAAATGAGAAGTTAGTGAAATTTTAAGAGAATTTTAAATTTTAAGATGTAGTGGATTTTTTATTTTAATTAGTAGAAGAAGTATGACAAATTAAGCTATACAAAATATAAGAATCTAAGAATCATTTAAAATCCTAAAAAAAAAAAAAACGAAGAATAAACTTAAATACAACTAAATGATTGATTTCCAGTTTTTCATTTCATTTTTTTCCTATTTAATTTTTAGTAAAATACCATGCACAGGATGAATTAATGAATGTGCATTGAATAGGAAGACATGAATTAGAAATTGCTTGTTTATTGGATGAAATCTTTTCTAATACAACATTTCTCGAAATCTGAAACGAAAAAAAAAATATTATTCATTTGGTATAATATCAAAACGATAGTTTAAAAATTTTAGTTACTAAGTATTACTTTGAAAATTTTTATTATCTTTTAAGTAAGCAAAGGAAGAATGCCAAAATTTGATTGTGTAAAATATAATTTGAAAAAATTTTTCCGCCTGATCAATGCGTACTATGAGGCGATCGATAAACATAAAGTTGATTCAATCTTTTCGTTTTAATATTTTTGATAATTGATTATTTTAATTCAAATTATTACGGTTATATAATAATTCAAGCAAGAATGTAATCTAGTATTCGATTTAATTTTTTGCTAACAAAATAAGCTAAAATATAATTTGTGCTTATCAGAAAATTTCTGATAATGTAAAATACCAAAAGCTATTGCATCACTGAAATGTGACAATTAACTATTGATAAGAAATATTTCAAAAAGATTAATTATTATTGATTATTGATAAGAATATTAACTATTATTGATAAGAATATTTTAAAAAGAAGAAAAAAGTAATTTGTATGAAAACAAACCAAAGATGCAAATACTTTTGGAGAATTATTATTGTATTCGATTTCATCTATAGCTACAATATCTGCCGATGTAAAAATATTTCGCGCTCGAAATATAATCTAAAAATAATTTTACCGCCTAATTAATACCAATTATTTTTATTTCCACTGATCTTACTTTTAAATTAATTAATTTTTAACCTTTTAATTTAAACTTTTATTCTAATTTTATTAATTTAATTTTTTTTCAAATTCATTATTATTCATTTCAGTTTAAATTTTATTAAATTGATAACTTTCATAAAATCATTCAACCTTAAATGGCGTCGACAAATTATTGGAAAGAATAATTTTTTCTTTTATCCATCGCAATTCTTTATCGATTAGATCAGGTGCCGTATAGGTACAGATAAAAGCATTTTGTTGTGCAATACATACCTTAAATATATTGCAAATAATACTTTTTATTTTTTTATGAAAATTAAAATTTTCAAATTTGGTTATCAATAGTATTACTAAAGTAATAAAAGTAATACTGTAATATGGTTGAAGAAAATAAATTAATGAAAAAATTGAAAGAAATGTTGAAATAACTTATGAAAAAGATTTTAAAAATGAATAATTATATCACTGAATAAGTAAAGAATGATAACTTACATCAAGTAATTGAATAAGTAAAAAGTGATAACTTATATCAAGTAATTGAATAAGTAAAGAATAGTAACTTACATCAAGTAATTGAATAAGTAAAGAATGGTAACTTATATCAAGTAATTGAATAAGTAAAGAATAATAACTTACATCAAGTAATTGAATAAGTAAAGAATAATAACTTACATCAAGTAATTGAATAAGTAAAAAGTGATAACTTACGTCAAATAATTGAATAAGTAAAAAGTGATAACTTACGTCAAATAATTGAATAAGTAAAAAGTGATAACTTACGTCAAGTTTGGATATATTATTACTTTTCCAATAAGTAAATGATAAGGTTGCCTGACGTTCATCATATTCTTCCACTTCAGTACTAATCAAATGTCCTTCAGCTAGTACTGCTCTACCACCTTTTGCATATGCATAAAGACCATCTAAAATCAAAATAATAACTCATATTTTTACATTATAAAAATTAATATCAAATTTGAATTGAAAAAATTAAAATAAATAAATATTTAAACAATTGAAAAAGTTATTCAAACTTGTATTTGAGGAATGTGGAATGAATTGAAATGAATTAATTGGTATATCAACACCAATAAGCCATAGATCAGAATCAGATCGCCATTTGCATAAAGTTCCATCATCGAAATTACACGATAGATTTGATATTTGAATTTCAGTTTCGTTAATTGATATTACTACTTTAAAAAAAATATGTTAAATTAGTGAAGAAATATTTTAAACTTAAAAAATTAATTTTTAATTTTTTTTTGTTCTCACTTTTTTTTTTGAAGGAGATATTACTCTATAGAAAATGACAATTTATTCAACTTTAAATAAATATGAATGATTTTTCAACTTTTTTTTATTGTTTTTTTTTGGAAAAAAATAAGAATAAATTTAAATTTTAAATTTCTGAACAAATTTTTTGAGAATTGAAAATAATTTTAAATATTTATTTTAATTTTAAATACATATATATATTTGAGAATATTTAGATGAAAAAATTTTACCATGGAAAATTACTATGGAAATGAGAGAGAAAATTGAGGCAAATTTCATATTTGTGGTAGGTAAAACGATGAATCAGCAATGGTTGTTAGCTGGTGACAACAGATGACAATGTAATCTGAATGGAAACGCATAAATTCAAATCCCACAAAATACATCAATAAATAATAAAATGGGTCATTCGAGGCATATTTACCTGAAAGCAAATGCTTAAAAATAAAATTTATTGGAAAAGTGCTAATGGTCAGTTAATAATAGATTATAAAATAAATATTTTCACAATGAAAATTATATTTTTGCTAAAAATAAAATCAAACTTAAAAATTGATGAATGTTTTTTTAATTTTGAAATATTATTATTTACAATTAAAAATATCATTCTAGCTATTTATGTTAGAATGAAATTTTAATTTCTAACTAATGTTTGTTTTTTAAATTCATTTTTCCATTGAACAATAATGTCAAATTTGATTCGATTTAATTTAATAAAAAAAGAAATTCTCTTGTACATTAGTTTTTTTTTTTTTTTTTTTTGTTCGTAGAATTCTTTATTGTATAATTTTCGTTTCCGTTTTTTTTTCGTTTTAATTAATTACAATATTATTTCGTTTAAGATACCAAACTCATTTAAAATTGCACTTAAAATTTTGAAAAATATTTTTACTTTTAATAAAAAATCACTTTTGAAAACAATTTTATCTCCTCTACGTCACATTTTCAAATCTGTTAGTTAGCATTTTCCTGAAATTATTGAATTTTTTTAGTTACTGATATAATAAATACTTTGTATATTAAAAATTTGTATCACTTAAAACTAATTTTAATTTCAAAAAGTTACTAATTTTTTTTTAAATTTTCAATGATGGATTTCTTTACTTTTCTGTCAGTAAAATGAAATAATTTAGTTTAAGAATCATTTCACAATTTATTTTAGCGTTTTCATTTTCATTTCATTCCGCATTAAGTTTCAAAAATAATTTACTAATGCTACAATAATAATTTTTTTTTAATTTTAAGACAAAATTATTAAATAATTTTTTTTTTTTCAATAATTTTTTAAGACAAAATTTTTAGCATTATTGTTAACAAATATGGCTGTTTAATTTTATGGCAGTTAATTATTTCAATGTAATTTACTATTTATTTTTCAAAATAAATTTTTTTTTGTTTAAATTTAAATTTAAAATATATACAAAATAGTTTTTTTCTTTCTTTTTTAAATTTTTTTTTCCTTTTTTTTTTTTTTTTGCTTTTTCCGTTTTTTTCTGAATTTAAAATGATAATAATAGTAAGTAAATACGATCAAATATCGATTCTTTACGATTTTTTATACATTTAAACTTTGTTTTTTTTTTTCACATTTCTTTTCTTTCTATCTCTCTTTTTTAAATTTAAAATTTTTGAATAAAAAAAAAAAAAATTGCTATAAAATTTTGTTCAATTTAAATTTGTATTGATCATTGCTTTTAAATTAAAACGAAATGTTCAAATTTTTTTATCATCGTAATTAGGCTAATGGACAATATGCGCAAATGCGCACATTGCAACGATCACAATGAGTTCTGTTTAGAGCTGTTGACAATAATACTAATTGTGGACAATGAACAATAACTATTACAATTATAATTTAATCGTAATCGCATCATTGAATTATTATTTCTCATCAATAAATGAATATTTCTTCTTTGCTTCTATTTAAATTCTATGTTTTCAAAAAAAAAAAAAAAAAAAAATTTAAAAATAGAATGAAACTGTTTATTGTTTCTATTAAGTATTCCAAGATTTAAGAGAAATTTAAAATTTTTAAAAATTTACAAATATATTTTTTGTTGTTTTATAATCAACTTAATATTCATTATATAGATGTTTGTGTATATATTTAATTTTTATTTTAATTACTTGAAAATTCATGAAAAGGAACGATTTAATTTTGGATCATAAGGCTTGAGCAAAAGTTGACCTATTTTGGTGAGTTAACAGAATTTACTTTTAGATTTATTTATTTTTTTTTGCAAAAATTTAAATAAGATTATTTCTCGATGATCGCTTCTACTTAGTCTTTGTTTATCTCTATACTTCTTCAAGCATGGCTTTATTATTAAAAATTTTAATGATTCTAACTTAAAATATTATAATATCTATATGAGAAATATGAAATTTTAGGATTAAATTGAAATAAACCGGTTTGCAAGATGAGAAATGCATTTCCGGAAGTGATCATCCTCAAATGGTACATAACTCTATTCATTGGTAGATACCGGAAATAATCCGATATTTGCTGATATTATTACTATCATTTAAATTTAATAACAGTTAAATAATAGATGAGTGTATCAAAAATATTGCAATCTATTGTGATTCTCATATCATTTTACAATCAGGGAAATATTTGAAAAATAAAGTGGAAAATGTAAGAAGATGAGAAAAGATCAGAAATATTGATTGATAATGTCGAATTTTTCTGATAATAAAGATAAAATAAAGTTATAACGAATGTCATATATTTTAATAAAGAAGTAAAAATAATTGAAAAGAAGTATGGAAGAAGAAAAGTTAGTAAAAATTATGCAATAACTAAAAGTTACCCAAAATTGTATAAAGTAAGTGCCAAAATAATCAAAGTAATTTTATTATATTATAAAATTATATTCAAAGAATCAAACTATTTTTGGACTTTTTAATTATTTCAGCGAAATTTTAAGTGTAAACAAATTCAGGAAGACATCAATCAATAAACGCTTACCAAGAGAAGAATTATGTTAACTAATATTGAAGTTAGAAAACGAATCGTTAGTACGACTTAAATGATATATTGATATGTTGGATAAGAAAAAAAAAGAGAATGTATATTTATAAAGAAAAAAGAATTTCAAAATTATTAAATTAAGGAAGGGAAAAAATAATCTTAAAAATGTTTAACAATGATTATAATTTCAACCATTGCGGCACCTAGTTCAAATTCAGGACTATGATTCGGGAAGATTACGATTCAAGATTACATTTAAATTCAAGATTATGATTTAAGATTACATTCAAATTCAAGATAATGATTCAAGATTACATTCAAATTCACAATTATGATTCGAGAAGATTACGATTCAAGGTTCTAATTCAAGATTATACAATCAAGAAATTAACTAATCCACAAAAAAATTCCTCAGATAGCAATAAATTGATCGCAATTACTACTATCAACATTCAGTGAAGACAATTCTAGAATAATTGTAGTGGTGCATCTTCAAGTTATATCAATGATATTTAGGAATTAAAATTATCTAATGTCATATTTAAAACAGAAATAGTCAAGAATTAAATTATCTAATGCTTGTGACATTACCTTACATTACCTATATGGAAAATCTCAATCAAGAAATTTAGAGAATCATTAATTTTAAAATAAAAATGTCATATTTATGAAATAATGAGAAATACTACATTTTTATTGAAGCAAAGATGTTATGTAATATTCAAATAATATTCTAGAAGAATTATCATTTGCGATTAAAGTGATAAGCAAATAGATTATTTCTTATCTTTTTGTTATTTTTTGAAAAAAAAAAAACAATTTTAGGATAGCAAAATATTTCATCAATTCCTAAAAGATTATTCAGTTTGCGAAAGTTTAATTTCAGAAATTATCAGTGCAACAATTTTATCGCAGATGCACTGATGCATTTTATCAATACACTACTGATTGCAATGATTAAATGCAATTTTTTGTGATAAAACTTTCATATGTTTTGATTATTTTATTTCTATCATATTTTAAATGTACCAAACAGTAAACAATTCCATTTTTCCATTTTCAGTATGAATATGATTAATTCATAACGTTTAATTTAAAAATGTAGGATAAAAATGCTATATAGTTAATTGTCTCATATAAATTCTATATGGGATTTAATGAGGAAAAAAAAACTTCTTTATTCTAAATGAAATTTTTAAGAGCGGCTGTGTAAACTGAAATACTTTATCTATTCTAAATGAAATTTCTAGAAATGGCTGTATAAACTAAAAAATAGTTTACTACAATAGAAGGTTAGTTTCACTCCTATCTTTCTCGCAATCATTTAAAAGTTTCAAAATTTGAGCACAACATATCATTTCAAACGAAATTCTATCCAAGAAGCCTATCCAATTTACCGCGATTATCATTTTGGGAAGAGTGCCGCCTACCGTAATCCCAACAGTTCCCATTTTGCATACGGTACCGGTTGATAGTAACCCGTAAAAGCTGCTAATTTAGATTTTGATCAAAATTTTCATTCATTAGCACGTTATATCTTAATATATCACTTTCAGTTTCAATTACAACTTACTTTCAACAATGTTTTCTACGTTTACAGTCGTTCTAGCATGCATTGTTCTCATCGTTGGCAAAGGAGAAGCTTCTTCTGATTACGGTAAAAGGTTTTTACAGTATGAAAACAATTTCACCTACTAATTTACATTAAAAATGGTAGTGAAATAAAGCACATTTGTGTTTTTTTTTTAATTTCTTTTCTAATAAAAGATGCTAATTTATTATTACTTTGCTCATTTCATTAATTTTAAGAATGCTTCTACATTGTATTGTGAAATGAGATTGCGATTTGTCGCAGAAGTACCAATCATTCATGTCATTATTAGCTGACAAAAGTTGATGGAATAGAATTAGAATGATTACCAGAATAGTTCGAAATACTTTTGCTATTTGTTTATTATTTCATAAAAATAATTCATTGAAAAATATTTCAAAGGAAATTGGTCATTGCATAACACTGAAAAATATTTAAATTTGCTCATTATTTAACAGCTTTTCATTTTTTAATTTTTAGTTCAGCAATAATTCAAATTTACTTCAGACCATACGGATTTGTATAGACTTCTAAACCAATTATTCCTCATTTAATGCTCCACATATCTAAAACTTTTATATTTTAATACAAAAATATAATTTTATAATTTTTTTTAGAATGCGTAGACGACGGTGTGGAAGGTGTAAATTGCACTAAAATTAAACTGGAAGGTAAATGTGCACCTGAAACTGCTATCGAAACAGATGCTATATTTTGCCAGAAAACATGCGACCTTTGTGACGTTGACATAGAGCTGGATACCGGTACTGGAAGAGATCGTCCATCTCTTGCAGAATGATAGATAATTAAACAAATAATTCAATAATTTCTTTAATTTTGAAATATTTTATTGTAAAATTATGCGTGAATACAAATTTTTAAACAAAATGAGTTTTATACAAAAAAAAAAAAAAAAAGCACACAGAAATAATATTACATAAATAATCTTCTAACACTCGAAATATTTTCAAACAAACATTATCAATTTCTTTAATTACTTCTAAACTAAAACTAAAAATTCTGGAAACTAACCCGAACAAGATAATTTTCATTACTTTAGCAGTTATATCATCAACAAAATAATTATAGTAAAGTTAAAAATAGTATACTTTCTTTTTTTTTTTCAAAAAAACTTACGTGAAATATTCATGGATAATAATCAGATACCAAAAAAAAAAAAGAAAAAGAAAAAAATGAATAAAATATAAAACTATTAACTATCGTAAACCTCAGCATAACTTATAATAAATATATCTAAATAATAAAATAATTTATGTTACAAATATTTCTCACTCATTTTAGATCATTCATCACATAAAATGAATACAAATGAATGTCACAAAGTCTAATCTAATGAATCATTCATTTATCCTACTCTCATCTTTATTTCCATTCATCAAATTTATAATCAATATATATATTCCAATAACTCATACAACAATTGCATAAGCATTTTTATCATACCAAAATTGTTCATACAAAAAGAAAAAGAAAAAGACAGAATCGATTTTTAAACAGTTAATAAATCATACTAAAAGTTTAAAAATAAACTAAAAATAAAATTATTTGATATGTCTTCGAATTTTATTTTATTTCTTTTCAAATATAAATGGAAAAAAAATACATTACATACTTATTTAGTATTTTAGTTTATAGTTATTCGTATATAAATATTCGCTGTGCTACCAAAAGGTACCAAAAAGTGGTTAAGCAATATTCAGAATATGCAGTAGGCTAAATTTTGAAAATCTCAAATGTTTATTTAAGGGCCTATGATATTTTCCAAATTATATCATTCAATTTTAGTGGCTAATCGAAATTCCAGATAAGATAAGTAATATGTATTTGAAAAAAATCAATAAAATTCAGCTAATCAATTTTATTGCGAGAAATTTCGATGTATAAAAAGAAATGATTAGAAATTCTGGGAAATTTAGTAATTGGTAAAATGAATCAAAGTTATACTTTTGTAATATTAGATCAATGCTCTTTATATTGAATTGTTTGAAATAAGATGATGAAATACAATGTTTCATCAAATATTGAAAGTTTTATTTTTTTGCTATGGAAAAAAAAAAAGATTTTAGAGAATTAAATTTGATAAAAAAAAAAAAACTAATCTATCGAATATGTCTATCGGTTGGAACAAATTCAAATTTCAATTCGAAGAAAATGAAACTTTGGAAAAAAAAATCAGTCATGTTTATTTTCCTCCAATTTTCAACAATTATACTATCGATACAATGTAAAATTAGTTTAAAGTAATTAATTTAATGATAAAATTCCTTGTTATCATTGAATTGAATTGGTGCTTAATTTTTTAACTTTTCCATTTGTAAATAAATTCTATTCATTTCTCAGTTATTATATTTCTGGAATAAATTCACTAATTGAAACAGTTTTTAATTTTTCTCTCTCTCTAACGAATATTTGCTATATTTTTTTGGATCTCTTTCATCGGATAGTGAAGTGATAAGCTTTCATCAATATATGCTTACAAACAAACACTTCACATTACTATCCAATACTTCTTTGATTTGTCATGATGAACTGATAAAACAAACAAACAAACAATGATAATTAATGACGAATTGTTTTCTTTTTTTGAAGTGCTAAGAGCAATTTTGTAATGAAATTGACCGTAATCATAGCAATTTGTTTGCATAGCAAAATTAAGTTTCAACAGCACCCAGTTACTTTCGTCATTAAAAAGATCATTGAGACAGCAAATATACGGTAAATTAGCAACCTGTCGTAGCTGCTTTATTTTTAGCAATAAGTTTAGATACTGTTTGCTGAATTATCGAGTTAGTAATGATGACCTTCCCCCATACTAATAAATGTATGTGAAACTTTTTTTTTGATTAAATTAGCTCAGAAACGTGATTAATAGTTTTAAAAAAAAAAAGTAAAAAATAAAAATAAAAAATCAGATTTTAATTTTTACATAGTAAAATTCAGAAGAAAAGTTTAAACATGTTTTTCTTGTCCATCTATTACGTTATAATGCTGAATTTATCAGTGATTGATAAATACGAAAATATGAAGGAGAAGGCTAGACATTTTAACATTCTTATCTAACAAAAAAAGTGCTATCAGTTTAATTCGTCAAACAGTTCGGCAAATTTCTTGACACAACCAATGCGATTTATTGTAACTATATTAAATAAAAGTATATCATTTAAATGAGATAGGCAATATGATTAATACCACAAGAAAAAATACTCTACAATCTATTTACACTGAAAAATGATAAAATAAATAAACTAAATGAACTGATTATTTAAAGGCACCAATGCATCGTATTCACAAAAAATGTCACAACTAATACTGTCTAAAAAATCACCGTTAATTACACATACTAAAATTAAAAATCACATGAATTGAAATTTCAGAATCATTTATCTGTGAATTTACTACAAAAATAAAACATGCAAAAGTATTGTTGAAAACGATAAGTCACAAGGAGAAAGAAGATAAAAACAAGTGTTAAATTGGAAGGTCTAGCATGACAAGCATGACATCTGGATAAAAAAAAACGGAGAAACTTATTGGGAATATACATGATAGAAAGCAAACACACATTCAAAGGTTTGTTTAAATACAAATTAGCATAATTATCAAAGAAATATAATATTTCAATATAGACTACCAGTTTTTGGAATTTTAAAAGGAGCTAGAACAAAACTTTTAATTAGTTGAAAATACTAACAAAGTAAAGAAAACAGTAACGAAAAACATCCAATGTGTCCGGACAGGCGCTGCTGAAGTCATCATTTGCCCATACTTGTCCAACAAATCCAGTATAACACCATTTGTCCAACCAAATCCAGTCTGCAAAGATTTATTTAAAACTTTCTATTTGTTTAGTATTTGTACAATCAGAGCTTGCAACTGAGAGCATCATTGTTGACAGATTAAACGCCCAGGAATTCGAAAATATACGGTTAAAATATTAAGTAATGGTCAAATTTTTGAGTTTGAGTAATTTTTTGTTCTGAGTATTTTTTTTTTCTTTTGTTTTGAGTTATTTTTGAGTATTGGTCAAATGAATATTCTGGGTTTATATGTAGGGAACTTAAAAGTTAAAAGTGAAAAATACATGAACTTTTCTTCACACTGAAGGAAAGTCTTGTACTCTGATTCAGGTTAAAATAGAAATCAATTTTTAAATTCAGAGTTTAACGAACTTGCACTTCGTATTCTCCACCGGAACCAGCACTACATTCTTCAGAAATTGCCGAAACATTATACTTTTCGAACATTGAATGAGTACGAATAAAAGATTTATATGTTACACTTAACCATTGTGTTGCCATAGCTTCAGCTGCCTATAAAATATTCCAGTTCATCAAAATGAAACGCAGAGTAGAAAACATCAAATGCAAATAAACTAACAAGAGTAAATATATTTTCGGAAAACACTTTAAAAGAATGATCAACACTAAAATCTATAACACAGACCTTCATTAGTACAGGATCACCCGTAGTACGAAAGCCTTCAATGACCATATGTACCATTGGCGGCCACGCATTTTCCTTATCCCATTGCTGTTCACTTTTCATGGCCAAAGAAGTCGGCAAACCTTTGGTGAAATTCAGCACTCCTTCTCTCTGCATGCTTTTTAGAATCAGAATTAAAAAAAAAAAATCGTGAAGTGTTTATAGGCATGAAGTATCGCTATACTACTGTTTTCAAATACAAGTAGGAATGATGCTAAAAGAATATAATGCAAAATAAAGATAAGATGGAATTTAAATGAACAGATTATAATTTATCATGATTTTAAATATCATTATTATAAAACTCAGAAACCCAGAAAACATACCTTCAAGTACTCGTAAGCTCTGTGTGGAATGATTTCGTCCTCATCATTGTAACATTTTGCATATAAGGGTAGAGCATTCGAAATATAATATGTGTTGGAGTGAAGCTAAAATTTTGTATTTAAAATGCATAATCTGCTCAATGTAAATTTTTCACAGTCGAAAAGAATATGAATAAAATATAAGAAATATCACTTAATACTCACTACACATATTTCATTCAAAAAAAAAAAAAACTTCATGCCAAAAAGTGACTCTATTTAAACTTGAAACTTATATTATCTCTATTTAAAAAAGAAAAAAAAAACCTTTTTTTCCAGATCGTAATCATACCAAATCCCATCGGTTTCATTCCAGTGAAGAATTTTCATCACCAATTTTGCCATTTCATAGCGCGACTGATATAGTAATACTTTCGGGAAATTACCTGAAAGTCAAATTCATACTGATAATGCATGCTCATTTCGATTTGCTGTACATACTATAACATATTGGAAGAGAATAATAACGAAAAATTTTTCTCTAAAAGGTATTATAAGAAGGAATAAGTAACTAAATGGTTTATAAAAGATAACTATTTAAAAAAATCGTAGTGATATGGTTTTGACATGGCTTATTATCTCAAATCAAATCGTTTAATGACAAAGCATAGTCAATGTAAGAAGAAGATTGTATAAAAAGGAAAAAAAAAAAAAAAACATACCAATAATTTCATAAAACGAAGCCATAATTCTGGCATTGATACAAATGAAAGCATTTAAATCAACGGGTACAATAGACCAAGTACGAATTGATTTCATGTCATGCATTTCTGGACCACTTTGGGCAAACCAACGAGTACTGAAATCCCATCCTGTTTCAGCTGCTGAAGCTATATTTGACCACATCAATTCTTTTTCGGCTGGAAATTAGAAATGTCAATTTTGTTCATTTATTTCAATAAAATATAGAGGTTAAAATCAAAGAAAAAAA